ATGGTGTTGCAACAATAACCATCCAGACAAGATCTGATCTCTATCTAGCTCCAGCTGACGATCGAAAGGTTAGAACAAGACAGAAAAAATGTACGTACTTATTATATGTATCTATCAAATTTGTCAAATGATTAAAGACCTGAAAATACATGAATCACATCAGCGGGAAGTATACGATTATCGCAGTAGTGAAACGTTCGTATCCATTCGTCTTTGGATCTAAACGATTTTGTCTGTGTCGGTGTACATTTTGGTCCATTCAATGCAAGAACTGTTATTTTTATATTGAAAATATGTAATACATGTCATATTTAAACTTACAATGCTAGAAACTACTTGTAAATTGTTAAAATTCAACAATAAACTGCAATACAGAAAAAAAAAACAATAAAAAAAATTAAAATACCCATCTTTTATATTATGGCAAACCAAAATACTCATGACAAATGTATTTTTTCTCTTATTTTACTAGGCAAGATCTTGCGCCATACATTCAATGATATCCAAAAAGGAGTTGTGGTAATGTTTGAGTTTGAAGGCACTGGATTTATTAATGCTTATAAAAGGAACAATGTTCCCAGACTAAAAATTAATAAATCAAACCAAAAGAAAGGCAAACAGGCCAGAGTTACAGGAAATCGTGCACTAGAGAGTCTGCAGACATGGAAGGATCCAAGACTGTTTCATCAGATTAATATCAAGAAAAGCAAATACACATATGCATCGGTGCATGTAGAGGGTTACTATTTAAGAGTTACCAGGAAAGGCAGAGTAACGTTAACTTCAGTAAACGCAGACAAAACAAAATCTAATATGATTTTTAATGTGAATGAGGGTAATAGAAATGATAGTGAGTGTGATGGGGATGATGAATGTGATGGTGGTGCTGAGATTTCTACGGAAGATGATGATGATGACGAAGATGATGTCAAAGATGTCGAAGATGATGATGATGATGACAGTGAAGATGATGACGATGTCGATGTCGATGACAGTACAATGGTGATGACAGTTATTATGACAATAATGATGGTGATCATGATCATGACAGTGCAATGGTAGTGACATTGATTGCAATGATGATGACACCTATACTGTATTTAATGTACTTATTCAAGACTGTAGAATAGCTGTAGAAAATTTAGCTTTTCATTTAGTATAATGACATAATAAAATATTTTAATAGGGTAAAAAAAAATGTTTTGCTCCTCGTTCTGTAAAAAACTGGAAAACAACACAGTGATGAATTTTCAATATTCTTTGTATTGAGATTATTCAATACCATTACCACAAGATATGTATTCACTGTTTAGCATTTATTAAATACCGTTTTTGAATACATGCATTAATTGTTGATTTGGATCAACAAGTCATTCTCTGAAACAGAAAACAAGTATTTCGCCAGTGTACCATATATGGCACTCTTTACCAGTGTGAGGCTCATGTTTCAAACTGACGAGCATGATGACGAGAGGCAAAACCTAATTTGAGTTTGTGGGGCGGGGGCTAAAGCATAACTTTCTATAAACAAATTTGTTTATTGTAAGCCTCATATAAAATTTGTTGTCTGTAGTTGTAGTCTACTGAAAGCGTGTAGCTATAGTTCTGTTAAATTATTTGGAATATTTACAGCATACCATATAAACTATTTATTCGTGTTAGTTTGATCGGTTTACATCGTTTATAGCTTTATTTAATATATACTAATACTTTGTTTTGAGACAATGTTGCTGTTTAACTTTTTCACTACCATTCACAAGAGAACATGGCGTGTACATTTCTGATTCAAACCTTGTAGCCCAATTGATCTGTTTCATATTTAGAACGTTTAATTTAAAACCCAGTTTGTAATTAACGTAAAACTTACATATTTTGTACTACAGAACAATAACATTTGCATGTTTTTGTGCGTCAGTGTGCGAGGATCAGAGGAATTTGCATCATATGTTTATTTAATTATCTCTTTTATCAGGGCATTTTAAAGAACAATATTAGTAATTGACATTTTTTCAGATTTAATACAAGTACAATAAAAGTGTTTTTGTCGCAGTTTAGAACACAAAAAAACATGTTTACTAAAAATGAACTATCATAATCTCGTACATGTATAACTCGCCTTACACACCCCTTCACTTTCACTTAAATTTGATACATGGTTTAGAACAGAAACATCTCAAAGGGGAAGGTGCTTTGCTAAAGTGCAAACACACATGTTCAGGTTGTAATGTACAAGCTTTGAGTATTGCTGCTTCTGCATGATGTGGACTGTACCATTGATCTCTAGGGGTAGCTGCTCTAAATTGGTATGGTAATGTTCCTATCAGTTCAATTTGTTTCATGTATAACTGTTTTTTTTTTTAAATGAAACCCAAATGATCTTGAATTAGATGTCAAACTAAATAAAAATAAATATAAACAATGCACTGCTATTAAAGATTACATTTGGGTATATGCAGGAATTGTTAGTATTTAAATACAGGGCAGAGAATTAGACATTACATGAGCAATTTTAATGAAGGTATGAAGTTTTTTCCCAAGTAATTCAATAATAAGATAAAAACTGGTACTACTGTGGGATACTTTATTTTCACTGGAATTAATTTTTGCTGAAAAGCTTTTTGAGTGTTCGAATTTATTTTGATGAGTTGAATGTGAAATATAGGAAAAAAAGTATATTCACTAAGTTTTATTTTCACAGAATCATCCCTTCAGCGAAAATAGCGAAAACAAATTCCAAGCGAAAATAAAGTATTCTACAGTATTTCAATTTCTAAAATCACTATGCATGTGTTTATTTGATTTGTCTGTAATTTCTAATTATCTTTATTATTAATTATCCTTATTATTAATTATCCTCCACATAGAAAGATTACAATCACATACATGTATACCAGTAGATTTGTTGAAATGCTATGATCATTATTATTCAATAAAACCTTTTGCTACTATTGAGTTATTCTCTTATTTATGTATACCAGTGTCACTCATCCATGATAATTAGGAAGTTATAAACACTTCCACATCCAATTGTGTATTGTAGTTACTTCCTTGTAGAGAGCTACTTTCAGGCAGTTTATCGTCTTAGTTTCCTCCTTGCCTAGCTTCCTGCTTTCCTGGTATTGCTTCCAATTTTTTTTTAATCTTTTCACCACCAGTTCTCTATTTCCATCAAAATTAATTCACAAAATAGTTCTGTTTATAGTCTGCACTTTCCTTCAGAAGATTGGGACAAAAATTGACTCAAATTGTGTTTGTTGGCTCCAAAATTAGGGTTCATTTCCAGAAATATTGAAAAATATTAGAAAATAGTGCAGAAAAAATTGGGCAAGAAGGTCTGGTGGTGAAAAGGTTAATGATGAATGATTTGATATCTGCTGTTATAATCAAAATATTTAAAACAAAATATTTCTTTCCTGTTGATGACAATGAATGACACTTTTGTATACCTATCCTGTTTGTTTTTATGTGTGAAAATGATCAGCACAAATGCCTACGGTAGTACTGTAAATCATTTACTTTCTCAAAAGACAATTTTTCGTGAGTTTGTAAAAAATCTTATCCTAAGACCCTGAGTGTCAGTGAGTTTCACAAAATGTTGTTGTCACAAATGTCATAAAATACTAAAATCACAAAAAATTCTGGCAGTGAAAATTAAAAAGTTTACTCGTACATTGGTGTGTTTGCTCATATTCACTATGTGACTGCACTATAATGGCAATTTGATGTGCTGTCTATATAATTCAAATCAGCATGGTCGAATATCCATTTAGTTTACCACGGTGACATTTATAATCAGCCAATCCAAATGTATGTTAAATATGTTTGTACATTCATTAAATTGTCATTATCATCGGTGCCATGCATTTACTGTAGAGAATTGGAATACATATAATATACACTAATTTGGGTTTATCACGCCAGTCATAAACTCATCTGACATCTAATGTATAATGCTTTCCTGTCTTTTTCAAGTACTGGTACCATTATACTTATTTATGAATGAATGAATGAACTTTATTGTTCCCGTGTAAAAAAGAGTAGGTTACATAGGGTGTTTGCAACAATAAAGAATTTTTGTTAACAAGATAATATTTTGAAAATAACTAGAATGAATGTACTTAAAATTCACAAATAAATAAATATGTATAAAAAATAAATACACAAATAAATTATTAAAGAAATCTAATCTCTAATTTTGGTCTCAGCTAAAATAAAGTTTGATATCTCTTGTTGAACTAATTTATCTTGATGTGAAAGTAAATATGTGAAACGAGAAATGCTATTGTCAGCCGAAACTTCAATTTTATGTAACAGTTGAGATCTCTGCTGTTCATATTTTTGACAGTCTAAAAGGAAATTGATCTCATCTTCAATGCAATTATTACAAAATTGACAAAGTCTGTTATTTATTGGTACTTTAGGGATAGAATGTCTGCCTTTTTCAATAGCTAAACTATGATCGCTAACCCTGAATTTAGTGAACATTTTTCTATTTTCACCATTCAAATTTACTCAAATTACACAAACATTATGACACAAACAATTCAAATTACAGTCTATATTTTATATGAATACACACTGTGCATGGTGAACACCCCAGGCATGAAAATGTAGGAAAACACAATGTAAAATAAATAAATATTTAATGAAACTATAGCATGTGAAAACAACATTGTTCAAAGGTATTTGTAATTACTAATTCTCCCGAAATGATATTGTTAAAATTAGTAGATGCAGGTATGTAGAAGCAGCGTGACTGCTGATGCAGTTGAGTAACTGTGATCACACTAAATACCATGAGAGCTCACGCGAACACGACTAGGAGCGAATGGTGGAGAATAAAGTGACAACTGCAGTGACCCCCAGCACATATTTTTTTCAACAAGAATAATTTTTCATGATGGGGGTGCATGGGGTGTGTTTCCTTACTTATAAGGAGATTGACATATTATTTACAAATTTAATTTTGAATATGATTTTTATTTTTTCGGTTTTTGCAGATTGTTGACTTGAAGGCTGAACTTTTTAGGAAACAAGAAGAATTCAAGAGAGAAAAATTTGAGAATCAAAATTATGTCAAACCCAAGTCAAGCAAGGTATGTTTTCAGAGTAAGAGTGTATCAAGAAATTGACAATGTTTGACAATGTTTGTATTCATTTTTAGTATGGGGTGTGTTATTGAGCATGCTGTATATATGATTTAATTTAATTTAATTTAAAAAGAAAGCAATAAAACATGGTTTATGGTAAGGTGTAACTAGTTTTATTTCATCTCTTGTCAATTAGAAACATGAAGTTAAATATATGGCATGTGAATGTAGTCAATTGATATAGCAAAATATTGT